CAGGAACGAGGTATGCTAACTTTGCGCTATCTAGTTTATCTTGCCTTTGAAGGATTCTAACTTGAGCTTCGGAGCCCTTACGCCGGGTTCTCCCCGGAGCTTCTCTTCTCCTTCCGTTTCAGGTCCCTGTTACTCAGTTCAGAGGCAAGATCATTGACAGCTAAGACCGATCAGATTGTGCATCATCAATACCCATTTTGGCTTTATCCTGGTGATGGTTTTGCGTTTAAAGAGTGTGAGTTGAATCATATTAGGTTGTTTGCTTGTTTGTCTACATTCTCAGCTCTACCGAACATAAGGGTAATGAGCCCTTGTAGACAACTTTTGCAGGCTATTGTGTTTATGGGTTTTGCTGATTTTGAATTATGAATTGAGGACACATATCTATGGTTTTTCTTTTTCATTTTTTTGCATGTGATTCCCAGTCCAGCTTGCTTCTTTGACTCTTTTCACTCCTGATAGTACTCCCAGCTCAGAGCCTACTCGTCTTCCTCTTAACTCCTCAGTCATCATTTTACCAGTTCCATAATTTCCCATCTCAATCCTCTCCCAAATGACACCCGTTGATCCCTTTCACCCCCTTCGCCACCTCTTTCCCTCTCTATTTACTTTGATTTTGCCTCTTCCACCATTCCTATCCCCTTTCCCGTTCTCTCTCTCTCTCTCTCCCATCCCGGAATCAATCCAAGGCCAAAAACTCACTGTCTCCCTCTCCAACCAATCATCATTCTTTGTTTTAATGGCTATTGCCACCTCAAATGTTCAAAAAGACCTTCCCCTTTGTGTGCCATTCGATCCACTCGCTGTGTTCCGGCGTAACAATCCCACTCTCATGCGGTGATTCTTATTTGGCTTACAGAAGATGGACAAAGGGTAATATTAGCTTTTTTTAAAAAAAATATACATCACGTGTGTACAGATTCTGATGGAAAATTAATAGACATTAAAAGAAGGGTAGAATTAGTCAATTATCAAACGGGATGGTTTAAGACAATAGTTAAACAGTGAGGTAATTTAAGAAATTTATCCTTTTTTAATACAATCAATCAGTCGTCGACTCACAAAACACACTATGCTCACACACTATTTAGAGCCATGCATTAGCATTAGGAACGTCTTTGTATTGTATTGTATGCTTTTAATTAGGGTAAATTACAAATAGGCACCTATACTTTGGGGTAGTGATAAATAGGTATCCTAAATTTTTAATTATAATACTCATTCACTTTGAACTCTCAAAAATACATTTGGATCCATCCATTAATATTCCATCACTTAAACATTACATAATGCAAAAACTACCAAGCGACTAGCTACTTCTTCCATGATGATGTTCTAACATGGACATCATTTAAAAGGGACTATATTGGAGTTTTAACACTAATTTTTCCGACGACATCATTCAGTGGTGATGATTTTACTTCACCAACGATTTCCTATCCTCATCGGCGAAGTTAACTTCTCCCCACAATGACGTTCTCACGTCGACAACAAATAATAAATTCATATTTTCAACACCATTTAAAAACTAAATTGTTGAAAAAATATATTTTTAGTAGGATGCAATTGGGGTAGGTTAGGTTGGGATGAAGGTAAATCATGGTTTTTAAAAACAAACCGGTTAGGGGTCCGATTATCGGTTCGAACGGTCTGATCGTTCGATTCGAACGGCCGGCTCATTCTGATAAAAAAATAAAAAAATTTAAAAAGAAATTAAAATTTTAGAAAACGGTCAAAACCGTTTGAATGGTTAACCGGCCGATTCAGTGGTTTGTTGACCAAAATCAACAATTTTGAGGGAAAAAGCGGTTTTGGAGGAAAACGGACCGGTTCTCAGTTTTTTTGGTCCGACCATCCGGTCCGGTCCAGTTTTGAAAATAGTGAGGTAAATCCAAACTCAACCCTAAATGTTCAAGCATTAGGATAGGGCTTGGCCCAACCCGAGTTTAAGCCCAAGTTTATCAACCCAAGCCCAACTTGAGCTTAACCCAACATAACTTGGGTTGGACCAAACCAAATTAGTTGGGATTGGACGAATTCGTTGGGTTTGAAAGAATGTATGTGTATATTTTTATACAACCATCTTTTGTTGGGTTTTATGGCCTAATTTAAGAGTATAATTGATAGAAAACATGTGCAAACTTCACACACACACATATACATCCACACTACTTAATTCATGTCGGGCTCAATTCATATTCTACACTACTTAAAATCTGGTTTGGCACTCACCCCCTTTGATACATCCACACTTATACATGGGATTGATTTTCTGTAAAAGTTACAAGGAATTTGGTATCTTATCTTTTATCGTAAAGATCAATTTGCAATTTTTCTTATCAATTTTTTAGGACAAGGTTTGGTGTTGACAAACCGGATTGTAGGGCTGTTTATAAGAAGGCCCAACCCGACCAAACCGACCAACCCGAGTTGGATGGGTTTTTATCAGTACGGGTCGGTTTTGGGTTGTGCAAATTCTTAAACTGATGATTCAGGTCGGTTTCGGTTTTTACATAAGAAAATCGAAACCGACCCGAACTGAACCAACTTAGTTCCTAGTTCAAACATGAAGTTCTAAAGCCCATTAGGCCACCTAGTTTTTGAATGGTTGCAAGAAACTTTGGATTAGTAAATAGTGATTAATGAACAACTTTTGTGATTAACTTTTCATTTAAATTTTATCATAGGAGATGGCTGAAATGATGTTTAATTTACGATTGCTTTTAAAATTAGCAAGATTTTATCACAGGGATGAATTTAGAACCGAAACCAACCCAAACCGACCTAACCCGACTCAAACCGATCAGGTTGGTTTTACTTAACACTGGGTCGATTTTGATTTCTATGTCAAGTAACCCGATCAGGTCGGATCGGTTGAAAAAAACTACAGTAAACCGACCCAACCCGACCCGTGAACAGCCCTACCGGATTGGATTCAGTTGTTAGTGCTGTTTTACGTCCGATGTCGAATGTTGATTGTCGGAAATCGATAATTGGTCGTCGGCACCAGCTTAACTCTTCATTTTTCACATTTAAAAAGGGTTGTCTCTTTAGGAAAATAACGGGGAAGAGGAGGAAGTGGGGTTATTTATTTATTTATTTTAATTAATTTAAAATAGATATTAAAAGTAACGGAGAGGAGAATTTCTCTTTCGTTAACTTCGAACATTAAAAGTGGGGTGCTTACGTGTTGCAACGCAGTTGGATGACCAGCCCCGCTTTGTAAACTATTGTCTTAATAGGAATTTTTCCAAAAAAATAAAAAAAGGTTTCGGTTCAACTGCTTATACTGCTTTAGTGGTCGGTCCTTGCTATAATAATACGTGGCAAGCACAGTGGGTCAATGCCCAATTGGATCTGACTTCTGAGCATCAGAGCGAGCGTAGCCGTCCTCCCCCATAAAAAACCTCTTACGGTCTTAGCGACCCACCAATCTCCCTTATAATACCCCTTCAACGTCAACGTGATTCAAATACCAACCAAACAGTCAAAACTACCAGCCTAAGTGCATTATCAGACCCTGGGAGCAGCTTGAACATCTCTCTCTCTCTCTGGCTGGCATTAGATTCTAGAGATGCTGGTGATGGTCCACAGCTGATGCTTGTTATTTAGATTACTATCAGATAGAAAGGAACGCCCAACTGAGGCCATGGCGCTAGTGATCTACTGGTACGACTTCATCTGCTTCGCCATTGTCGCTGGCGCCATCTTAGGTTCTCTATGGGTTCTTAGGCGGAGAGAGGGCTCCGGAACTTGTGAGGATCACTCCGCATACGAGAGCCTGCTGGTGGCTCAGTCGGACACTGAAGGGTTTGCTGGGGTGACACGGTTACGGGCCGGTCACCTCAGCTCCACTCAACTCTGGACCAGTTGTTGGCGTGGGCTGCACCCTGTATGGCTCTTAGTGTCACGCACCGTCTCAGCCGTAGTCATGATCGGACTGCTTCTTTGGGACGTTCGTCGATACGACGCCAGCATCTTCGTTTACTACACCGAGTGCGTTCTTCCTCTCTCCCTTCTCTGCTGCTCTACTCTACCTAATGCATATCTACCATCATCCATTATTCCATTATCGCCGTTAACTACTTGTCACTGAATAAATCATTCATTGCCTTCTTTTCTTGCTTATAATTAATTAATCCAATTTTTGGTTTTAGTTAGTTAGTTTTTATGTGAAACGGCCTAGAAATCTAGAATCAATCAATCCCAAATATTCTCTAATTTCTAGTTGTTGCGTAATCGGATAATCCTGCATGGTTTGACAATCTGATGATCCTATTTCTTCCTTGATTAGCCGTATTCCGATCGGACGGATTATGTAGAGGGTCCGACGGTAAACCTTCGTCTATTAATTTTAGATGATGTATAGCAGCGAGCCAGTGAAACACTGTAATGACAAAAATACCCCTTCAAAAACTGAAATGCCCCCATCGGCATTCAACCTGCAATTCTCTACTGTCTCTCTGACTCTGGCTGGTGCCCGGTGGCTCCGCCAATGAGTTGTTTTATTCGCAGTCTTCTGGGGTACTCGTTCTCGTTACTTGGGCAGTGGTAGCTCTGTTTTATGGAGTACAGAATGCTCCTTTGAGCGCCAACGATCCCTCTCTGGTTTCCTTGTTGGACAAAGCTCAGTCTCCTTTACGCCTTGGCCTTGTATTTTCTTACACTGTAAGATGAGCTCTAAGCAATTTCCTCTGGAACTCATTTTTTCTGATTAGTACATTGATTGGAAAACAGGAAATTTCTATGGTTTTTTCTTAATCTATACCTTGAACAATTAATTTTGTATGCTGAATTTCACAGCATTTTCTGGGGTTGGTTGCTGTAGCTTGATTATATTATGTGTTAAGTAATCAAGTTGTGTTCTAACATGTGATAACATTAATTGAATTTCGTTTCGATACAAAAGAGGGGGGAAATGGGTTTCTCTAGTTTAGAATGGAATGGTCTGAAGATGATGATTTGTTGTGATTCGTGACTACAATACCCTTGATTTTCAGAAATGATAAGCTTCGAGCTATTTCCATTAACTGTTGTGAATTAACAGAGAAACCAATTAGTTGATACTACAGAAGATCAACACATGAAGATGTCTTGCAAAAAAGATCCTTAACTCCTCAAAATCACCGCATGAGTGTATAAATTCACAGCTTTCTGTGAAAAAGTAGGTCCACTATACTTCCTCAGCTTTCTTCATAGAAATATCAGATATCATGTTTATATTTTTCTAATTAATCAGGTCAATTAGCAAACCTCCCTACACGACCTCACCTATTTCTGCCACATAGATGGATCCTATGGTCGATCCAAAACCCAAATCATCCATTGGACATAGAACCTTGAATTGGGCATTTATTCATTCATGCAGCCCACATCATACATTTTACCCCGCCTTGAATTGGATTTTTCTCCAGTATCACTGACCTCACTGCCTGGCCCTTCCCCATAAAACAAACAGACTTTTGACCTGCGGAGGGTGGTTCAGGAATCAAGTTTAGATGAGCGAAGGGTGTTTCCTTTTGGCCCCCATAATAAATTGCCACATGGAAGATCCCTATCTCCTTCACACACTTCCAAAAGATGAAGCAGGCATTACCAGGCTTTTGTCGCTGAGTATCTTCTCCTGGTCTTTAAATTTCACCCAACTTTTATGTTGGTTCACGTTATGTGGAGCATTTCTTCATGTATAGACCTTATGATCTTCCAATTGTGTCATGGCTGTGCATAGTATTTCACCTTTAGGCTGTGTTTGGTTTGAAAGAAAAGGTAAGGAAAGGTAGGGAAACCTGGTACAGGTTCCTTTCCCTACCTTTTCTTTCATACCAAACATAACGTAGGCCTAATTCCAGTGAAGGAATATGACACCATTCACATTAATAACAATTTTCCTTAGCTAGGATTGTTCATTTGTAATTTGGCAATTAAAAAACCTATCCAGAATTGGTGGGAGAGAGGGGAGGGGGTTTAAAATTCCCTTGCTTTTTATGCTTCCTATAAGTATTTTTTGCTCTAGGGTCTATGTTTTCCAAGACAGTGCTTATGCTAATGAAGAAAAAGAAACCTTAGATTCTTGAGCCGAGCTCAAAATATGATTAAATTTTGTCTTTATTTCTCTGTTTCCTAATGGTTATTTGAAATTCTCTTTCCTATGGAACATTTAAAATATTAGTATGATGCAAATGTTTGTAAAATCAGGACTAAAAACTAGTCTTATTCCCAAATTTGTTACTTATATCATACTTTCTTCTTATATGAAATATTCTTGGAGAAGTATTTCTCCCATTGGCGTTTTCATTAACTTGGTTCTCTGATCTGCTTTTGGTTACCTAGAAAATGAGAAATCTTCTTTTAGGATAGCATGGGGTCAGTTCTGTTTCCTATCACTCTCCATTGTTTTCAGTCTGCCTTCTCTACTTTAATGAAGAGAGAAAAATAGAGGTCAAAGGGGAAATCTACTTACCTGTTTGGACTTGATTGTCTTTTCTCTTATAGTTTCCAAAGTAGTGTAATGATTGAGTTGAAACACTTTCTGCTGGTAAGAATGATATTTTTTTTTCTGACTTCGAGCATTTATAGATTGTGGTTTATTCTATTTGACAATTAATGGTATCTGAATTCCCATTCTTGTGATCTAACTGATTTACAGGTGGACATTTACATTAGTCATTCTCTATTTTGCGGTATGTTCTGCACTCTGCACCACCCCTCTTTTATTATTAGTAAGAATTTAGATTAGTTTGTAGCATGTTGAGGCACAAAATTGGCCCACATGTTCATCCTTAACCCTTAATTTATAGGGAAATTTTCACCATAAGGACACCTGCCACATGTCCTGAATAAGCCCTTTCTTGTGACATTCTTTTAAATTATAAATTCAAACTTTGAGAACATCTAATACACCCAGCTAAAATGTATGGCTCACATATTCCGGGGAAGTAAGACATGGTCAATCAGGAGGGTCCCTTAATAGATGGATGTTTCAGAATGACCCATGATTCTCTCATGTGGCAGAAATAGGTGGAGTTGTCTAGAAAATGAACCTAGTTGACTTGATTAGACTACTGTTTTCTTATATCTAAGCATGCACCAAGTGCTCTTCAATTAAACAACTTAACATGTATCACTTCTCCTTGTAGCTTGGTATCATTGCATCTGTTCATGGATGCTTGATGCATTCAAAAAGACCTTGGACTGAAAATGATGAAAACAATGGATATCTGAAGAGCGATTTAGAAGGACGTAACTCTACAAGCACCATAAATTTAAGAACACACAAAGTCAGGGGCACCATCAAGTTGCAAAGTCATCATGAGCAAGATGCGACAGAACAAAGAGCTGGATTTTGGGGATATCTAATGCAAACTATATTTCAGGTTTAGTTTCTCCTGGCTTCCTTTTTCCTGCTTATTTTGCAATTTTTCATTTTTGCCTCAAACTTTTTTTTTTTGAACAGACCTGTGCAGGTGCTGTGATTCTTACGGATGTTGTATTTTGGTTTGTCATAGTTCCATTCTTGTCAATCCAGCGTTTTAGCCTAAACCTGGTGAGGTTCTTATCCTTTCAACCATTTTAAGAAGAACTGCTAGTATTTACACTGAACTAAGGCTTTTTTTTTTCTGTTATACATTATATGCATATATAAATCAGTATAGATTGAACATCTGTTTTTCCATCATCTGAGCATAAAGAAGAATGCTAGAATACAAATATGTGTGCCAATTCAGCAAACAATAAAAGAGGTCTTAAGCATTTACAACATATTCTACATTTAACTTACTAGATTATCTATTATTGAACCTTCATAAATGAACAGTTCTTAATGAAGGACCATTTCTTATAGAGGAAATTGACTGCTCACTGGGGTAAACTAGTCAACTAACTAGCTTCAATCATCAGATATTCTCTCTCCTTTTGCCATTTTTTTTTCTCTTTTCAATCGAGTTTGGTTGTGTTTTGGTTAAACAAAGGCAGCTTTCTCATTTTGTATTTCTTTCAAGTCAATAAGAGAAGTTGGAATCTAAAGAAGCTGCCGCATAATCTTGGCCTTCCAGATACAATGGTTGGATTGGCACCTAACAGTATATATGGACTTTATTTTAGAAGGATCCCATGACTCTCATGAAACACAAGCTTTGGGAGATCCTCTTTTTTTTCCCCTTCTTTTTCTTTGCAATGCTTGTGAAGTTATCTGCATTAGTGTTTCTTGCTTCATTTTCTTCTTCTGAATATGACAGTTTTTAGCTATCCCATCTTTCTTTCTTGTACCATGTTTTACCTAATGTTGGTGACTTCTTTTCCACAGTTAATGGGGTGCATGCATTCTTTCAACCTTGTGTTTCTTCTCCTTGACACTGCTCTCAACAGTCTTGTAAGTATAACAAATTAACAAGAGAAGAGTGTATTGTAGATTATTTCTTCCCTTGGGAGGAAATCTAAGATGTCCCCTCTGGAGACCATTAGGATAGCTTTCACCAGTGGCTTTGATGCATGCATGTGTTTCACATACCATGAGAATGTCTCCCTCTCAGTCCGTTCTCCAAGTCTAACTTATGCATGCTCTTGGTGGACAATCCATGACTAGAGTATACCCTAAAATATAAATTCCTTATTTGTTTTTTGCATTGTACTTAGTTTCTTGGCTTACAGAACCAATGGTATGTTCTCTCCTTTCTGTTTAGCCTTTCCCTTGGTTCCGGCTTGCATATTTTGTTCTCTGGAGTTGTCTCTACGTCATTTTCCAATGGATTATTCACGCTTGTGGGTTTACATGGTAAGCATCTACTTTTCATAGTTTCTGCTCTAACTCGCTCTATGGCATCAAGGAGTCATTTGTCATCTAAATAACTACTACGGCTTCTTTTCTTAGGTGGCCGTATCCTTTTCTTGAACTGTCGATCCCATGGGCACCTCTTTGGTAAGTTATTAGACAGTATTCCATAGCCATCATCTAGATTTTCTTAGCTTAAGTCTTTAGATAGATTGAGGACCATCTAATGGTGAGGATGTCTGTCTGGCAGGTATTTCGGTTTGGCTGTGGTTCACATCCCATGTTACGGTCTGTATGCATTGATTGTAAAAATAAAAAACGCAGTTTTCTCGAGATTGTTCCCCGAGGCATACATAAGGTGTTAATTAGCTTCTCCATTTCTTATTGTTCTTTGAAAAATGGTTGTACCTGATGGTGATCCGTCTGTGTGAATGCCTAGTGTACGTAGAGGAGGGAGGGTTTGATGTAGCGGCAATCACCTCTTCTAGTGAATCAATCAAAAGGATGTTTATTATGTTTTGTCCTTTATAGAAATGTGGTTGAGTTGAGACAAATATGTTACGTGATAGGAATATTTCAATGGATCAAATTTGAATTTCAAAGATATTCGGTTCCACCCGATCAATTCACAGCCCTGGATCAGAAGTGATTCTGGCAGATAGGGGTCTCGCCTCGGTCAGTCATTCCAATCAAATGGTTTTTAGTTGACTTTCGATGCCTTGAACTTCATCACGAGCATTAAGGGCCACGGCTTCAATTTGGGAATCAGATTTGGTCTTCATAAGACGTACTTACACCGTTTACACCATGGTTTTTAAAAACGAACCGGTGACTGAACCGGTCAGGGTCCAATTATCGGTTCAAACAGTTTGACCATTTGACCCAAAAAGCCAGCCCATTTTGACAAAAAAAATTAAAAAAATAGGAAAATGGTCAAAACCGTTCGAACGGTTAACCTGCCGGTTCAGTGGTTTGCTGATCAAAATCAACAATTTTGGGAGAAAAAGTGATTTTGGAGGAAAATGAAACCGGTCAAGTGACTGGTTCTCCCAGTTTTTCCAATCCGATCGTCCGGTCCAGTCCAGTTTTGAAAACAGTGATTTACCAGTACGGACACAATGTATGGTTGTTAAAAGTTGGAACAGTGTGAACACAGCCTTGTGAGCATTGAAACCCATATCTTCAATTTGGTGACAATACTGACCGAGTAATGGTCTCTTCCCACCCCTCCCCTAATAGACGTCAGTGACTCTGCTATGCTACCAAAGCAATTTTTTGGGGGGTTTTATCGTTCAATCCACCTCTAGAAATCTTAGTTCCATACAGATGAAATAAATCCTGATCGTAGATCAATACCAAATTTCCATGATCGTGCATGATTCATGAATAGTTCGACCGGGTTGGGATTCCAGTCCCATCACGTTACTACCCAACATGATCACTCCTGAATGGTCTCTCAGTCATAATTCCACTTGCAGCAACCAAGCTATTCAACAAATATACAATTTGGTGTAGACAAGTCCCTACTCCCTATTGCTATGTTTAGTTTGAAAGAAAAAGTAGCAAAAGGAAGATATAGGTAAGCAAAATTATACAAGGTTTGTAAAGGTTTTTCTTCCTTTTTCTACTTTTTCCTTCAAACCAAACCTATACAAGGTTTGTAGGAAAACTTTTGTTTACAGTGTAAAACTCCAACGATGTAAAAGCCAATCAATAGAATTCAATACAGAAGGTTTCAAGTCTCTAAACTGTTGTGCTTTAAAAAATGTGATTGTCAATGTAATAGTACATTGATAAAAATCAATGTAAAATTCTAAATTGATGTAAGACTAATCGATGTAATATTTACATCAATAGTTGATGTAAAACTCTAGTATAACTCTATCCGAACAGTAACAAAACTAAACCGGAAGTGAAATTTTATATCAATCTTGATTTACACTACAAATAAACACCGGAAAAAAATGAACCGACAATAGAGTTTTACATCAATACCAATTTACACCACAAACAAGCGGAGCCTAAAACTTGATAGTTTAAAAATTTAAGAAACAATTCATGAGCCACAAGGTAGAAACAAGGCTCTATTCTACAACATCACTAAAGCATAGACATTGGCATGTTGCCTCTTCAACAAAACCTTCAAGCCAGGAGAATGAACAATGTAATGTCATAATAAGCCACATAGCCTACGGACTCTTAATTCACGATTCGATCAAAGACCCCTTTAGCTTATACCAATGTTTTCCAACCGTCGTTTACCTGAACGGTTGAATTGTTTGGCCCGAAAACCGTCCAGACAATAAGTTACATTTCTCCCTAAATCCATTCTTGAATAAAATCCATTGACTTGGTCAAAAAATACTGAACCGGGTAATCAAATCGTTGACCTGTTCGACCTAGACAGTGATTCATAGTTTAATAAAGTTGCAGAGGAGATTAGAAAGGGGAGAAACTAAGACAAAAACAATCTCAGATCTAAGATCACTAGATCCCAGATACAGCAGAGAGAGAAATTAGATCTCCGTTCTCATATTTGTGTTTTTGTTGCCACCGCTTCACCGTAACTATCACCATCATTGTTGCCGGTGAATGACGAATTCTTCCCTCCTCCTTCCCCTTTCACTTTTTTTGTCTTCTTCCTTCTTTCTTTCTCAGCTAACAACCAGCCTCAGTTGTCTCATACAAAATTAAAAGCCTAATAATAAGTAATAATATTTGCCCTAATAATCCGAACCATCTAAACCATTCGACCCAAGGCCACAACAGTTACATTCCTGGGTCGGTTTTTAAAACCTTGTCTGAGCAAAGGTTTTATGTGCTAAGGCCACGAGACCAGTAAAGTAAGCGCCGAGAGCTCAGGTGACAATAAGCGCGCTTGTACAACCTTAGTCTTTTTTTTTTTTTTAATGAAACACAAGGTTAGAGATGTAAAGTGGCCCATGGGCGGCCCGCTTTAGGGCGGGCCGTGCCATCCTCCCCGATGGAAATTTTGGAGGCCAGCCCAGCATAGCCCACAGCCCAGGCCCAAGCTGGCCCGTGTCGTGCCATGCCAGCACGCGGGCCTGGACCAGACGGGGCTGCAGGTTGTGCTGTGGGATTGGACCGTGCCGAGCTGGGCCATAGGGCTAGCCTTGGGCCTAGGCCAAACCGGGCTACACTTTTTTTTTATTATTTTTTTTTGAAAATTTTGATTTCTTTTCTAAGTAAAATTATAAAACTAAAATATTTAACTTTGCTATGAACTTTTGGAATTATGAACTATTTAAAAATTAAGATATGATAAATCTAAGTTATTTAATACATAAATAAAAAAATACTTAACCAAATTGAAATAAGAATGATGAAATAACAAATTGAAAGAAAAATAGTAATTTTGTTTTATTTAAATTCGAATAGTACAAATTAGTGAATTACGACTACAATGATTGAATCATTGCATACTTGGATGAATGAAATATAAAAATGGAATAAATTAATAGAATATAAAAAATACAATATGATTACAAATTGAAAATACAAAATTACATTGTTAAAAAATTAAAAAAATATATATCAAATAAATTAAATAAAATTTAAAACTTTTACAATAATTTGAAAAAATGAAAAATTCTACAAGTAGTCAAATTCATGAATCATCATTCATGACTTTCATCATCTGCTTCGGGTGAAATGTCCGGTGTTATATCATCCCTCCTTTGTCTTGTAATCTATCTTCTATGTATAGCGAATCCTTGAAGCAGATGCACATCTCTATGCTCTTATCGTTCATGCAACTTCTTTTGTCATCCAACAACTTGGTACTTGCACTAAAACAAGACTCTGATGGAACTGTAGACACCGGAGGGGTTAGTAGTTCACGTGCCATGGCAGCGAGAACTAGATAATTTTTCGAGTGTTCACTCCACCAGGCTAAAATATCAAAATTATTTGATACTTCACATAAATTAGAAAAATTTGATTGCAAATAAAAATTAAGTTCAATAAATGAACTTGTTGTAGAACTAGCAGATTTATGCCTTCTACTTATTTCCTACAACTTCAGATTCATACAAACTACACATTTCAAATAATAAATTATTAATTTCTTCTTTTTTATTTCCTTTATCAATATTCATATTTTTATAATATGTTTCAAATAAAATATCTAAACCATCTTTTCCTAATCCTATGGTCTAATATTGTAGCTAAACAATAATGGGAAGAAATGTTCTCCTAATATTTTTTAAATTTATTTTCCATAATTTCAACAATACATTGAAATTATGGATTATTTCTATATTTGACAAAACAATCACTAATACCATTAATTGATACGGTAAATTACAACTAGTTGAATAATAAATTCCAAATAATTCATTTGTTGCATCATAAAAATGTTTTAAAATATCTTTTATATTGTCATTTCCCAAGCTTACTCAAATATCATATCATTAGGCATTTTTAAATTATAAAAATCAAAAAGAATTTGTTTATGAGATATACAATTTTCTAACATAGCATAGGTGGAATCTAATATAAAATGTTTATATTTTAAACCATGAATTTGGCATAAATATTTAAATTCTTGTTTTCTTGCCCCTAAACTTTTTATATATATAACACAATTTCTAATTTTTGAAATATGATTGAAATAATATTCAAGGCATCTTGAATACATAAATTTAAGATGTGACATGCACATCTAATATGAAATAATTTACCATTTAAGCATGGTTTTAATTGAGATTTTAAAATCATTATTGCAAAATCATTATTGCTAGCATTAACAAAACTAATAGAAAAGTATTTAAAATACTTGCAGCAATAACCATTCAAACCTAGTAAAACTTAAAATTTTTTTATTTAAAAGCCAATTTTCATCAATGAAATGACCGATAACACAAATATAACTAATATTAAATTTGGATGTCCAAACATCCGAAGTAATTGAAACTTTCGAATTAAGATTTGCTAACAAAAAAATTAAATTTTGTTTATATGAATAAAAAATTGTTAAAGCATCAGTTCTTATAGTATTCCTAATAACTTTTTTATATTGTGGATTTACAGAACTATGCAACCACTTTTCTACCTTCGGATCTTCAGTTAACATAAATGGTTGTTCTCCATGTACAATATACTTAGCAAGTTCTTATCTCATTTTTTTTCTCGTGAATATCTAAAAGTACCAAAACTAGTCCCCCTCCCAATCTGTGCTTGGGTTGTTTTGCTCACACGAGCGAGAGTGAGCAAACATCTGCTTAAATGACTCGTACCACCCTTGCTACAATAACTAAAGTCTTTACTACATTTTTGGCAAATGGCCCTTTTCCCCTTTCCCTCAATATCCTCTACTTTGAAAACTTTTCAAACCGGGCTATTCAACTTAGAAGCTCTCATTTTTCCCCTAATATCACTACTACTAGGGGTGAAAGTTCCACTTCCATCGACATCAATGTTAACACTAATACAATCATAATGCGATTGAATGTCATCCATGGTGAACATGTTGGGGAATTGGTTTTGAGAAAGGCCAACAATTTTTTTAATTCTAAAAAGATAAAAATTAATCTAATTCGACTTACTCGGATTGCAGATTCAAAATCCCAACTTGATTTCAACAGTTGAAGCCTTTCAACATCCAAGCCTCCCGAATTGAGATACTAGAGCTGTTTCAGCAAGCCTTCTTATTGAAAGTCAAAACTTTGATAACGTTGAGACTTGAGAATTGGAAAATGCAGAATTAGACAATCAGCTAATCAAAATTTCTCAGATTGCAAATAATTGAGAATGTATGCGTATGAGAGAGAGAATTAAGAGAATTGTTGAATTGGTGTGATGAGAATGGTGGAGGATACGACTATTTATAAGAATTGAACATAATTCAATTACCCAAAAACCTATCTATTATCTAGTTGTTATATTACTGTTGGGAGAGCATTTATGTCATTTTTTCAATCCCCCATAAGCAAAATACAGAAATACCCCCCTAATATGGCTATTTATAACTATTGGGGGTATTTTTGTAACCCCCCCAGAAAGTGAAACTAGCCATTGGGCCCCTTTGGGAGGGAGCCTACGGCTATATTCCCAGGTAGGCCAAGCACAGCCCATTACAGGCTTGGCGAGCCGTTCCGCAAGTCGCGGGCGGCACAACACGTGCTATTGTGTCGTGTCGTGCTAGCCCATGGGCCTCAAACCCCCAGCCCAGCACAATACAGACCTCCATGTCAGGTCTGGCATGAGCCATCGTGTCGTGCCGAGTCGATCCAAAATCGTGCTGGTAACAAACAAACAAAGAAACAAACACAAATACAAACACAAACACAAACACAAAGAAGAAAGAAACGAAAACACCCTAGGGAGGATCTGTAACCTAGGTAGTATACATTTGGACCTAGGCCAATGCAGAAAGAAACCTAAATATATAAATCCGGAGTCCTGTGATCGCTCCCAAGTCATTACTGAAATTATTACCAAAAAAAATACTTACCTAAACGAAAAGAAGCAGAAATCAAATCCAATTTTCATTCAACAAACACCTTTTTGAAAGGACTATTCAACAAACACTCAAGTAGCACCATCCAAAAAGGCCAAATTAAAGTTATTAGAACTGAATGGAAAAACAAGAGGAAACCCTGCTACCAGGGAAATTTAGAGAGCATGGCGGTGTCGAATAAGATAAACAATGTAAGGTAAAAGAGTTTTTGTTACCCTCCCCCCAAAGCACACAAACACATAACAAAAGCATATAACAGAGAGTAATGGAAGCAGAAAAAAACACTGCCCTATCTCATCCTTAATTAACAAATCACATAATTAATTTTTATATCATTCCTTGGATTGTCGATAAAATTACTTTCATTTATCTATTATCTTCTATGTTAAAATCCTCCGTAATCTTCTGATTATTACCAAGAGACGGGAAAAAAGTCTAGACTACACAGAATCACAGCTTTGTTTATGGTATACGTATCTAGGCATGGGAAACCTTAACTTCCTAATGTTGAAAGGCAGTGTTGAATGGACTTTTCTAAATGGAAGAAGTGCCTGAGTCGGAGATGCATGGAACACCAACACTTAATAGACTCTTGAAAGATGACATTTTTCCTTTTCTCCTTTAAATAAATTAACAACTAAAAGCTAATGTACAAAATGAATATAAATTTTCCTATAAAATGCCATCAAGTAACAAAGAAATTTTGTTGCATGCCTTTATCCGTAGGTTTCAAATGTTAAATTCAACAAAACATGCATTTTTAGTAGTTTATTCTTTTACATAGTCATGTTCACAAGTCCTTGTTTCTTTTCTCTTGCTGATTCAGACTCCTACAGGCAATTGGCTAACACCAAAAGTAAACTTCCTGATAATTTTAGTAGTCTTCCAATAACCACTTAGATGCTTACATTTCCAAAGGCAAGGACGTATAGGTCCTATACTGCCCAAAAGTGCCTGTATGTCGAGGCATATATCCTCATGAACAAAAAGAGACCCATGTTGAATAAGTTGGATAACTTGGTTCCCCTAAACTCTTGTGAACTAATGAGCTCCATGCAATACCCTAGAACACCAAAGCAAACTCAACTAGAAATGCAGTAATTTCCCACCCCCTCAACAAACTCCAGCAGAAAAGGTCCTCTCAAGCTCTCACCAAGTCACCTAGTTTCTATGCTCCATTAAGAGGGAATGAAATTTGTACTAAGCTTGAGCATACAAAAGAACCTCTTCCTCTTTAAAAAGAAATGTTGTCAAACTCACATTGGATTGCACAGACAAATCAGAACCAGCAAGGTTTCTAACCTGATTTAGGTCTAACAAAATTGCCAGTAACAACATATGTAGAAGCATCCTAGACGCCTATAATCTTTAATCCCATCTTTTCAAGACTTCACAAACAAGTAATTAACAGCCTTGCAAATCAGAAAAGTGCTAATATCCAATCCAAAAAAAAATAGCAGTTTTAAATTGTCATTTATGCTTTAAAAGTCTGTGTTTACAAAGGAATGTTCTCTAATTTGTCAAGGAATTGCTCCCAGGCTGATTGGATCTTGCTGGCAATCAACTTCAATCTTCACTAGCTACCAACATATTATCTAGAAATATGCCCACATCCTTGTCCCACAGCATTCACTCTTTATTGCATAATTGACATGATTAAAGAAAGATCACAAATAAAACATTTGGCGGAGAGAACAAATGGATCAAATTAAAAACGGATCTAGCAATTTAGAGGAAAAAAACAATCTAACAAAACAGAAGGATATGATTTTACTCATTTTCGTTATATTTCTGATCTGCACACTTTTAAAGCCCTTGAAGCTGATGAAGACATCAAATCATTCAACTCAATGGAACCCAAGAAATTAAAGGGTCTGCTTGTATAAGCAACCCTGACTACTGCATTTTACATTCACCCAAGAATGGTAAAAGCATTCAAAGACAAAAATGCAAGCAAGCAGGTGTAACTGCCACCCCCAAAACAGCCATAAAGCTCAGTTTGGGAAGAGCACAAATGCAAAACCTTGTATATTGTATTGTAAATCTTGTATTTGTACTATACATATTTGTATTTGTACTCTTTCCAAACTGAGCCTAATGAAAAAGAAGCAATATCCAAAATAACAAGATATCCAATGCGACAAAACCAACCGAATTCCAAAAAACCATATTCAATAGAAAGGAGAACTATAAACCACGACCATAAGCGGCGAAAATGAAAGTTTATAATTCCAAAATGTAATTGAGCAGCAACAGTCTCCTTAGCAATAGCATACCAATCTAAAACTTTAAATATAAGATCCTAACCAAGTTTGCCACCTGATTCTTTAGAGGAGAATTTCAAAGAACAACGCAGTCCATTGATGCAAAATAAAAACGAAATTAAACCCGCCTCAAAACCCTAAACATCCCACCACAACCACCACCGCCACCGCCACCAGGAACATATTTTATTTTCTTTTTCTACAACCACTGACTCTCACTCACCTCCAGCTTTCTGATAAACGTAAGTAAGGCCGCACTTACCACAGTAGTGGCGATCGAAATGGTTGGCCATGAACGTCCCGGCACCACAGTCTGCGTTGGGACACTCCTTTCTGAGCCTCTGAACCTTACCGGAATCGTCGACCTTGTAGAACTGAAGTACGGGGAGCTTGACCTTCTTCTTCTTGTGCTTGATCTTCTTGGGCTTCGTGTAAGTCTTCTTCTTTCGCTTCTTGGCTCCTCCTCTGAGGCGGAGAACCAGGTGAAGTGTGGACTCCTTCTGGATGTTGTAGTCGGCTAGTGTTCTTCCATCTTCGAGCTGTTTTCCAGCAAAAATGAGGCGCTGTTGGTCAGGAGGAATCCCTTCCTTGTCCTGAATCTTGGCCTTCACATTATCGATAGTGTCCGACGATTCAACCTCTAGGGTTATCGTCTTCCCTGTTAGGGTTTTCACGAAGATTTGCATCTCCGCCGCCGGGGTTGATGGAAAAGGGAGTTGAAATCGAAGGCCTATAACACTGCAACAGTTCCCTAATTCTATTGCGCCCTTCTCCGAGGGACTGATAGAGATTTTAGGGTTAGAGAAGGATCAAATGCCATTATGATATTCTAGGGCAGTTTATGTGAAGCAAACTTACGGAAAACCCCCTCTTGGACATAGCATATAACTTCCCATGTTAGGCCGCTCTTTTGGAGGGAGGGACCCGGCCCTAGAAAAGTCTAGGTCCACCGTCCACGTCCATCCCAGATACATACTTTGGTCCGATCGGGCTGATCTAGGTCTAAATTCAGACCGAGGTGCCAGGCCTGAATCACGGGGTGTGTGTGTGTTTTCAATTTGCTTCAAATTTAGCTAGTCTAAGAAAAATGGTTGGTTTTTTTTTTTCAATTTCATTTAGTAGATCAAATGGCTTTAAAATAAAGGCTTGCAAAAAAAAATTAGTAGATCAAATTAGGTTTTAATGTTATATTTGAAATAAAAAGTTTTTATGTTTTAATGTTTCATATTACGGTGCTTTTTTTTTCTTTTTTACTTGAACTACAACTTTCAAAACTAAGAGGTATTAATTAAACTCTCTATGAATTAGAAAACAATTCAATTATATGATTTTAAAGTAATAAAGCTAGGGTGAGACGTGAGAATACAACTCAGTGAAATTTGTGTAAAGAGATTGTAATAAGGTGGATGGATCATAAGTTTGCCAGACACACTAAAGTGTTAATGAAGTTTTGTTAGAATGTGACGGTTCAGTACATGCTTAGTCTTGCCTACGTTTGGTAGGTTTATGTTAGGGACATCAGCGTCATTTTCGCTTGTAAGATTTTTGGGAGAACTGATGTCATCCTCAGGCAAACCACCAAAAGCTTAACGTACTCTTTGAGGAGGGGTGGTCGACCTCCTTGGGTGCCTAACCTTGGCACTCCTAGACCATCATCCCCTTGCGGGGCGGCCCTGGTTAACGGTTAGCATGGCTACCAGGGTTCCTCATGAGCGCACACTTGCTCATGGAGACAGTGTTGGACCGGCACTGCACTACCGATACTCAAGGGAGGCTTGGCATGCGGGCCTGGCTCAAGCATGACCCTTCACCACGCCAGCCCCTTGCCCAAGCTGAGTGAGCTACCCCGTTGCCTCTAGCGCATGGGTGTGTTCCGGCCCAAGCGGTTGCCTATCATCATGGTACACAGGTGCCTGTCATCATCGGCATACAGGAGACCTTTCACATCGGTGCCAAGTCACCTCTTCGGCGCATGGTCGCCTTGCATTATGGTTGTCCCCCTTTAGCACGTAAGCGGCGCCTCCCATGGACTGGTCTGAGCCAGAAGAGTGCCCCGGCCATTGGACTTGAGGTCATGATCCAGTGCTACTGACCTTGGTGGAGCCATCCCATCGGGCAACTCCTAACCTCTAAGTGCATAAAGGCTTGTCCTGACCTACCTTGGCCTGGACACCGCACGGGTTTCTTCCGCTGTAGAACTACCCTCGTGACAAGAAGGCATCAAAAAATCAAAACTTTAAAGTTACAATGAAATAAAACACTGGCATATTCACTCATGGTTGGTTAAGTAACCAGTTCTGCCAATCCAACATCTGCCAATATGATGGCACAAGATCCCGATACACGCAGCATGACAAGCAGAGAGACACCCTTCTATCTAAAGGCATATACACTATGGACCGAATGAAAAATTAGGTTACTTCTTTTGGATTCTCTAGAATGACGAATAAAAAGTGCTTTGATGGACATCTTTACAAAAAGTCCACAATCAAAAGTAAAAGAACTTTGCAATAATAATCCATATCTAACAAGATGGGCTACACTATTTGTTGATCTGCAACCATGATTCACCGAGCTAGGATTCAGGTGAGAGAGCATTCCTGCAATCGGCAATAATAGTGCAAAGATACTAGTGTAGTAGGTTTGTAATCAATTGATACTAGCGTAGTAGGTTTATAAGCAATTGAACATCACCTTCAATAACAACTCCAGAGCAAGATAAGAGTCTGGCCAAACGAATACCCTAATATAAATCCTTAGCCCCTGCCAAATTCGAACTTTCACACCTGAGAGGAATTGCCTGCACCAATATAAACCCGACGGTCCCTAACCACAACACCAGCTGCTGATTGACCATTTTTGAATGCTGAATCCACATTAACTTTAATCCAATCCAGTGGTTGTTTACACCAATGAGGCAAACAGTGACACTTTTTTTTTCTTATTTTATCTGTAAGGTTCAATTTGGAAAGAGTACAAATACAAATATGTACAGTGCAAATACATGCAAAATAATATAAAAGACAAGATTTTGCACTTTTACTCGTTCCAAACTGAGCCTAAATTCCAAAATTAATGACACTTCTTAACAATCCCATTAGTGTCTCTCTGCATGGGAAGACTTTTTAGGGGTAACCGCATGAAAGGAAGTGGATTCATTTAAACGGTCTGGGAATCATCTGTGTGACAATTTATTCTAGACTCGAAAGGAGTGATTTTTTCTCCAACCCTTTTATCAACCTACTTGCAGTAAAGATGGAAGTATGGAACCATGCAAATACCCATGAATAAAATGATCAAGTCGTCCCAGAGAACAGTCTGAGTCTTTGACAAATTAAAAAATTAGGATGCATATCAATTAAGGCACTGATAACGGATCAAATTACCTATAAGCAAAACAAGCGGTACATGAATTACAACAAATTTCTTTTCTTTTTACAAAATCTAACTCAACTATCATCTCTTCTCTCACTGCAGGTGCTGAAAGAAAGAAGCATACTCAGGGAAGGTGTTTAAAAAGCCTCTTATAAGTTGTGGCGGTAATGTCTTCCCTTGTACAAAAACATGATGGTTCCTCTCTATCAATGTCAGTACAACTCTTTGCTGATCAACTTCACCCAGTTCACCTGCAGTCGCATGATAACAAAATAAGAAAAATCAAAGACTTTCATACAAATTGCATAAGAACAAAGCCACGACACTGGTTGAAAAGCAGATGTTTGTATTTCACCGACCTGATAAGTCAGTAAACCAGCACAGGGCTATCAATGGGTTGGCTCCAGGCAAGATCAGACTAATATACCCAGAACCAAGGATCAAAAAATCATTATGTATCGGCCAATACGTATCGCATCAGGCCCTTCCTGATATGCCCCTACAGGGGTTGTATCGGGTCAGGGCCTGGGTTAGAGGGTAGCCAGGACTTAAACCGGCCCCTCTGAACCAAAATCAAAAAAAAAATATAACTGAAAGTTAAAAAAAAGGGCCGATACACCCTACCAGCGTATCAGCCAGTATCGATACTTCGAACCTTGCCCAGAACCAACCTTATTATTAATCAGGTTTCTTGGGTCTAACCTGTCGGAAAGCAGTAGTGCCAAAAAAAAAATGCCAAAGGTTAGGACCGTATCCAAACTACCCATCCCAAAACCACAGATAGCTGGGACCAACATTGGGTAATGGCCTTTTTTTGGGTCCAACCCAAGACCTGATTTTTAACGAAGTGGTCTTTAACTTGATAATTTGATAATGAATCTGCTAATTTTCTTGCTCTCTTCTCAAAGCATCTTACATCTACAAAATGACAATGACATTTTATATGAAACTATTACAGGCAAACAATGAGAAACACAAACAAAATGTTGGGAGGTATGCCATGAGAATACATATGTATATGTATATGTATTTATATAATCAGGTCAGGTCTTTAATCAGATCAGAAATTTGGAACAAGCAAACCAAATTATGACACAACTAAGACCCAGAGTCAATGTAATAGGGTCGGATCACTTTTGGTCTTTCAGATCAACTTGGACCACTGACAGCCCTAGTCCAGAAGTCTCGACCCTCCAGTACCCCTTGGAATCTTAGTCAAATATTGTATGGGTATGAAGATTCTGATAATCAAATATATTTGGTTCTTTTTAGCCAGGGAAGAAAAGTTCTCAAAATTTATTGGATAATAATAGAATTTGACAGGTTGGAAGGTTAAAAGTCACAATCATTTTGGGACGACAAATCATCCAAAAGATGGACTATTAATTGGAAGCAATTGGTTACATTATATAAGTTCCAATAAGCAATACAATACTTATAGAAAAGCATTACTTATATTTTTTTTCTCACTAACTAGAAAACCACGGATTTTGCAACCTAGATTGGTTTCCATCATTTGATAATTAAGACATAATACAAAGTTGCAGCTGAAACATGTGATCTCAAAGTTAGAAGCAAGGCACAAAAAAAGATTACTGGGCACTCAGACCCAAAAATCCCTTATGCCATCCATGAACAGACAAAAGCCAATTCATACCTCCCAGTAGAAAAAAGCCAATTCAAACTGAAAAGAGTAAACAAACAGCGGGCATCAAAAAATTATACAAGCTTACCCAATTCAATTTCCTGGTTCTGATCTTCTGCATCCCCTTCTTCCACAGCCATCCCATTTTCAAGGGCAAGAGCTGCATTGGCATAACGATCTAAAAATTCTTGTTCTGTTTCTTCACGCTCATTATCCTCAGAGTCCTAATAAAAGTCATTTACAAAAGCAACCATTCCTTCTCACCTTTTTCTTTTAAAATAAGCACATTGAATTTTGTTACAAAAAAGCAGGGAAAATTAGTAGTAAGCCATGTATACAGCAATCCTCATTTCAAATTTTTGTGCTTATCTATATGCTCTTTTCTTTTCATCCACAAGAACACGATGGATGCCATGATTAGGATATTCAGATATTGAATATTTTGTCCTACAATAAGTAGTTGACTAATGGGACCGTGAATGTGCTTCATAAATACTATTCAAACAGTAAGATGTTTATAAATCTACTTCTATGGATGAACTGTCAAATGCACAAAAAGAATTAAAGAAAGAATAAGAAATTTTGGGCCTTTATACCTCGTCATCGTCGTCATCATCATCATCATCATCAGTTTCATCCTCATCTTTTTCTTCTTCACCATCATTCTCATCTTCATCTTCTTCCTGCACTTCTTTGAGGCGTATAGCTGCCTCCATTAGCCAAACAAAGCAATCCTGCACCAGTTCACCCCCTGGACCCCCAGTAGGCCCTAGCAACCGTTCAACCACCTTGGCCAGGGTCATCACTGTTATCATTGTGTAACAATAGTTAGAACCATTTACTTCATTAGCAAAAATAGCATACAATAACAGACCAACCTTTCCATATATGATGGATAAGGAATTATGAAAGAATGGTATCAGGCAATAATCTAATACCATGTTCTAAGGGTAGTCATCTATCAGGAACATTCAACTAATTGACTGGATACTGTGCAGGGCAGAGCCCCAGAAGTATGTCACCTGGGTGATCCTAGGGCTTGCAAGGAAAAGAAATGAATGGAGAGGGGGGGAAATACTAGAGTTTTCTAGGGCTTGCAATAAGAAATTAATGGAAAAATAAAATCATTAAGGTTTTTAGGGTTTGTGAGGGAAAGACACACTACAAGAAAAATTGGACGTGTTACAATTGGTCCTCCTGTAGGTTGAAGAAAATTAAAAGTTACATAAACTTGTTTACTAGTACTTATAAAAAAAAAATAATTGTTTACTAGAACTCTTTATAAATAAAAAATTCTGATATATAGAAAATGTACTGTGTAGACAGCTGGGTAGCTATGCTTTTTTACCAAATGATAGAACCTCTACCAGAAGTTCAGATCAAAGGCAGCATGTGACTCATCCATTTGGCTTGCAGGTGAAATTAAGAACAAAGCCCTACTTTGGTTGTTTGGCTATACTGGATTAACATAGGCTTTTGGATAAATTTCAGCCCTATTTCAGATCAAGAAGAAGTTATTTTGAATAGATTCTAGCTGCAATTTATTTGGTTCTAGTTGTACAAAAAAACATGTGCTTATTAAGAAACTCTATTGTCCCTCCAAAATGCCCAGAACACCCCTGAAATCTTATTTTGATTATTATGTTTTACCTCATAAAACTTCCTAATACCTAGAGTAGCCTTCTGTTAAAATTTTAAAATCACCAATGACCCTTCAAGATTTAAACATAATTTGATTCTCAAAAACTTATCCACTATCCATTTAACTGTATCTTATTTACAAGCACAACCATTGTTCATTCCAAGGAAATAAGTTTCAATAAGCTTAACCGGACACTGACAAAGCATAATAATCCCTGTTATGAAAGAAACATCATGTAGGAATACTAACCAATTAACTTGATCTCAGACTCAGCTGAGAGACCGGGTTCAAAAGAGCTAGTACAGATATATCCCAGTGAAGACACCCAGACTGTGAAGCCTTTATCCACATCCTTCTCCAAAATCTTCTCAACAATATCAGGATTACATAAATAGCATGATGCAATAGCAAGCAAGAGAGGCTTCCAAAGTGCACAAGGTTTGCTTTGAAGCTCTTTGAAACGAGAAAAAGCTGCACGACTGAAGGTGACTGCTAGTGACTGCTTAACACCTTCACTACCAAGCATGAATCTTGGAACATGGAGAAGTAAATGGACACATGAGCAAGCCCTCCATGTTGCAGATGGATATTGAGAAATTGCCTCACTAATAAAAGCACCAATACCTTCAATAATGGATTGTTGTGATACAGGTGGGCCTGGAGGGGATGGAATCCCTTGTACAAGGAAATTCTTTAATTGATATTTTCTGTCTAAACTAACCACTTCCTTGATGCACTCAAAGATCGATAAATCCTCCACGTCTTCCCAAGCATGCCAATCTGCAATCACATCTGCCCAAGCTACCAGCAATTCTGATATTTTCAGTTCTGAAATCATACCGGCTTCAGAAACAGATCTCAGAATAGACAGAAGCAACTTTGATGCACCATCAATGCATGATGGAAGGGATGTTGTATGAGAGATGTCTTCCTGACCATTGTCAAGTTTAACAGAGAATAAATCATACGTGAAAAAGGTGCTAAATAATTATGACATATGAAAAGAGTAAAAACGAGGGAAATGTCAAGTATTTCCAAAAAAAACATGAAAACAAAGAACGTATGTTTGCTTTATACTAAATTACTTTTTGGTACTTTGGTCACTAAAGACTAACATTTTTTGAATTCTAGCATCATATACATGCAAAGGGTAAAAAATGTTGCCTTCCTAAGTAAAGTTTTTATATGAAACATGGCATTCATCTTGTATATTAGCTATTAGCTGTTCGTTATGCCAATTGCCAAATAAGCTAGAGGATATTCAGATATAAAGTAAATATTACGTAAAAGTGTCCTCAAGAATCCATGGAGTGTCAGACTCGGGCACAGGTCTGACACAGACATGTCCATTTAGGGGAGCTCATGCAACACTAGTTTTCTTTGTGCAATGAACACATGAAGCTGATAGCTTACATTTTAAGAAATAAAATACTTCCACCCAACTTTTTAAGCATGTACCAACAATCTTCTTTTCTAGTTCATAATAAGAGATAACAATGAACTAATGGAAGAAGTTCAAAACCTACAATAAGTTCAATTCCAAAACTGACAAAAACAATTTTTAAAACTGCAGACATGAGCATACCATTGGTTGTACGGGTCTGATCCAAGCTTGTTGCAGGAGAACTGAAAATGCACCAGCCATGTTCTTCCATCCAGAACTCCATTTTTCACCTGATTCATTCTGTTTGGTTTCTTCAGGAACAGAATCTTCCCAAATTTGAGCCATTGTGGCTAGTGCTGTAAAGCCCCGTTCAACCACCTAAAATGAGAACACTGTCAGGTTATCTTGAAAATTAGAGTACAATGGCCAAATGACAGTACTGTAGAAACCCCATGAAATCTAGACTCCAGAGTAAAAGTAGATAACAAAACAAAAGACTAGCTGAGAGGACAGGAATTGGAAAATCCCCCCAGGTGAAAAAAGCAAAGACAATTATAAATGAAGCCTCCACAGAGAAAGCAACATCCTTATAGTTTGGGTGCCATTCCCAATTTAAGAGAGGGTGATTTGTTCTTTCCACTAGGAACTGCTCAACTTGTGAAAATTAAGTGTACCTAAACCACTGCCCCGCTGAAACCACATATCATTACAATAATCATAAAGAACTGCTTTTCTAGTTCACAACCCATTTCTGGCATTAAGATCAGAAGCAAGGATCAAAATATCAATATGATATGCCTGATATTGGGTGTACCATATCTGCATCAAAGGTCATGGATACACTGATATATACAGGGTTTAGGGGTTTTGAAAGTTTTGGATGATAGAAGGTATCCCCCTCAGGCTGGAAAAAAATAAAACAAAACAAGATTATCGGTGCACTTTATCGGTGCATATCAAAGATTTTTTTTCCCATCTCCAACCAAAAGAGAACAACAGATCATTTAAACTTCCAACCTACATCTGGTAAATCAAAATGTGAAACACAGAACTAAATGGCCACCACAAGAAAGTTTTCAAGGTAATCAAAACAAACCTGAGGCCATGGCTCTGGATTAGGAGGTATGCGCTTTGAAATATTCCAAGCCATGGATTGAACAAGGGATGGGATGTAAGGTGCAACATTTTCATTGCCAGCCTCCACTATAGTACTCAAAAGTTGATATAGAATGGAAGACTCATTCTCATCTTCATTATCCGCCCTACTAACCACAACTTGCAGGAGGGGTAACCATTCGGGTGGTGGGTAGTCATTCTGAAGGGAAACAGAAGAGTTATATAAAAATACATTGAAAATGTACACACTTTGCTTATACATATTTTAAAAGATAGTTTTGGCCTCCCTTACTTCAAGAAGGTCAGCAATTGCCCCAGCAGCAGAAGCCCGGACAGGATAACAAGAAATATCTCCCAAATCTGACATGGCCAAAGTCTTCAACAATGAAGAATATACTTCTGTACTCATCTCCTGAGCCAGAAAATTTGAAATTAATTGAGTGCAAGTTGACAATGTATAATTATAGGGAAGTTCAATCTGGATAAGGGTAACCCAAATTCAATCCATTTATAATTGAATCAAATATGGATCCACCCCTATCAGATACAATAAGATCTTACTGAATTCAATTTAAATACATATACTTAGATATACTTAAAATTTATATTGTATCTATTTCGACTGCTGCTACAGTAGTCCGAACAGGAAGAGGAGAAGAAGAAGAAGAGGGGTCAGTCGAAAATCTGATGGTTAACCCATTCAGTCGACCCCCTTAATCTATATTAGCTTCTAATCATGTTTACAAAGACAGAAATGCCCTTACTTAAGTGTGGGGCAGAGTAACTCTAATAACACAGCCACATAAGCAAGTTACTTAATAAACAGAAGAAGACTAAACTATCCCTATTCGACACATCTTAACAGTATCAATTAGTAAAATTAGTTTGAATGTTGCATATTCACTAAAGAATCATAGGTTCAAGCTTCATACTAGTTATTTTCAGTTCATTTTATTCATGGGTCATTTTTAGTTCATTTCATTAATAATATATAATATTTTGATCACTTTTTTTTAAGAAAAGATAACTTGTATTCAAAACAAGGGAAGGATGTATACAAGAGATGTACAACAGGCCTTAAAAATAAAAAAAAAAAAAGAAGACTCAAACCAATTAAGTAAGCATTGAATCAACACTACACAAAAATTCCCTTCCCAAACCTAGCTTTGCTAAAACATCAGCTGCTTGATTAAGTTCTTGGGGGTCCATCTAAAAGAGCAGTTCAGCAATGATGACAGTTCATGAATCTCTGACAGAAAGTGAGCAATCCTCCACGCACCCTCTTCCATGTCTTTAGCCCACTTAATGGTGTTTCTGCAGTCCCCTTCAACAGCTAAGGGGCTCAGGTGTAATCTCTTAGCCCTTAATCCCTCAAGAAGGGAGTGAGAGACCACTTCAGAAGCATCTGCAGCTGATACAGGACCACTGAATACCCACACAATATCGCCATTTAAGTTCCTTAAGATGCCCCCTATTCCAGCTGCTGAGGGAGGAAAAAGTGGTCTTCTAAAACTACCATCAAACTGCAACAAATAGTCACACTCCCTCCTAGGGGGAAGAAGAGTTACCGCAGAAGGAGCTGGGGAAGTGAGCAGGATCTGCTGTTCAGCATCCAGGAAAATAGCTTATTGATCAGCATCCAGGAAAAGATCTTGAGGACAAAGTCTTCTCTCTTACACTTTCCAAAGAGAAATATCTGTCTTCAAATAACCTTCTCTTTCTTTCTTCCCAAATTCTCTTACACTTTTGTTTAATTTATTAATGTTAATCAATATATGATTGCAGTGCAAATTCAATTTGAATCTGAATATTAATGAATCAAATTTGGATCTAGGTATATCCTACTTGATCCGATCCATTTGCACCCTAGCATGTTAATAACTTTCTCTCAAGTGTTCAGGAGAGGAAAAGGAGGAAAAAAGACTAAATGAAAAGAAATGATATGCATTACAGAGTCATGAAATTTGAGATATAAATGGCAGGTAAACATGCGTTCCATACAACTATAACAAGATAAACAACTGGGATTAAGTAAAAACTTGAGATTTGAGATTGTATTTGCAAAAGATGCCTTACCTGGGAGAGACAGGGTGCAAGCTCTCCAAGTATCCAGTTTGCTGTAGCAAGCAAGTAAGGGGGAGGTGGCAATAAGGAATATAATGGTAGCACCCGACTCCGAATCAGAGCTGCTGTATATCCAGGACTTTGCTCTCTCAGAAACTGCAGAAGCAACACTAGAGTCATTAGTCCTTCCTCCAAGATTTCCTAGACCTCAACTAAGAATTATAGCACAAGAGATCTCCTTACATCTTGAAGACCACCATATGCCATGAGAACACCAAAATAACTGCCATAATTGAAGCTAAGGATCAATAGGGAAAGAAAATAATAAAAAGACCAAAAAAAAAAGTGACATAACCTTGCAGATTGTGAAAACTAGTGACAACACCAGCAATAAGTTGAAAAGGTAGTTGGTACAATGAAAATGTCCTATGTCCATTATTTGCATCCTAATTCTTATATGCTATATAATTCACATGGTCAAATTGACTTGAAGGATCTATCAAGTGCAACATCTGGCTTTAAATAGAATGGATTCGCGAAACAGGATTCATGTAGCCAACCCCATATAGCTGCGATAAGGCATGGATGATGATGATGATGATGATGAGTGCATCATCTCCTGTATAGGTAATAGTATAAAAGCAAATAGCATAACATCAGAACTAATCAAGTTACAAGTTGTCCACAGCTGAGGTGCCAGAACGAAATTAAATTCCATTTCTTGGGAAAAAACAAAACAAAGACTTGGGATCTATAATTGAGGTTCTCATAAACTCACTTATTTGAGACCTCAGTTTGGCACAACGTGACATCTGAAGGAATGGAGAATTTTGATAAAAAAGGGAGCACCAACAACTCCCCAATAGAAGACTTCTGTTCCCTCCTCTTATTTTTCTCACTTTTTTTCCTTTTTGATGAAGCAGTATTATTAGCAGAAGTCACCACCGGAGGCCCCTATAGGCATCAACAACCAATTTTATGACAAGAATTAACTCTAACTACAGATTCCTGCAGAAGTAAGATTCTTTTTACTGGCACCAGAAAATGACCTTTGACATTGAAATAACACCAAGTAAATTTATTGCACTTTTCCTGGCTGTGAACAGGTCCTCTTTCCACCCAGAAATTTCTTCCTGGAAAAATAGAATAGTAAAACAAAAGCTGAACGAAAAGAAAATAGTGCCTAAAAGACAATGTTCAAGGGATATTTCCATACAAGATCAGATGGAAGATTCTTCCGCATGTACTCATCTGCATCTTCTTCCCACTCTGAAGCATCCTAATAATAGGCAGAGACAGCATTAAATTGGAAAATAAATAAATAGCTATTCAAAGATACAGTTAAAAAGAATATCGACACTCACCAAAAAATCTCACTTAAAACAGAAAGCTCTGCAGGCATTTTAGTACCTAAAACTCATTGATAGTTAAAACAGAAATCTCACCTTATCATTCATAGTTAGTGCCGGAAAGATTGCGGACTCCATCAATGACGTAAAATGAGGTGAAACTAATCTCCATCCCTATTTACAGAAGAAATTGATATTCTTAGACAGATGTGAAAGGAGACATTGCTTGGTGCAAGGGTAAAATCAAGCTGAAAAGTGTGAGAAAAGCAAGTTTGTTGAGAAGTGATCAGTTTTTTTGTTATTTTTTATTGGGCTTTGTTCCTTTGTTTATTTTTATCATTACATGTAGCTGTCACCTAGCTAGGGGCAAACTTGTATTTTCTGTTATCTATTTTCAGCAGTTAATATAAAGCACAGTGGGCTACAATAGACAGCCCACGATTAAGCGTTTCTTCATCTTCTCTACTCACTTTCCTCTGCTATCTTCTTCCTTCTTTGATTCTCAAATCAGTTAAGTTTACTCATCTTTATTGCTGATTTACAAGAGAAGTAAATTTAAGTCTGAGAGTATAGTTAGGACCAACATCAAGTAGTATCCCTTTTAGAAATGCATTCAGGATCCTGAACAGAAAGAAGAGGATTCTGAATGGACATGCTGATAATGAAGCTTTCTAATTCTGTCAAAAAAAAGTCTTCTTTACTGATAAAAAAAAAAAAGCTTTCTAATTCTGTCAATAGGTAGATGTTTGGTCTTTTTCATTGTGTGTGTGTGTGTTGTTGTTGTTGTTGTTGGGATGATGGGGAAAGGCGAAATGTCAATTAATCAATGTATTTGAAATTGCACAAGCATCATCAAGGATTTTAAAGCAAAAGTACATTAGACTTTCCTGGAAGATAATTCAAATGCAAGAACCTGAGTTTGCAACTACTTTGTTTGGAAAAATTTTGTGAAGCTTTAAAAAAAAAAATCTTGTGACAACATCAGAAACTAGTTCCAGCAGGTATTTACTTATGATTGTAGACTGAAAAGGTAGGTCAACTTACTGGCCCTGTCTCCAGAACATGTGAAATAACATCAAAAGCTAATGAAACAATCCTCTCTGACAAGAAATCCAGTTTCTGCATGATGACAGATACTTTAGACATGCACAGAAGTGAAAAAGTTTTGCATGCAAACAACAAACCAGAATTAAAACAAGGGAGGGGTGGAGGACATCTGGTATAAAAGCAGCAAAAAGTCCCTCAAGTGTCATGCTGGCATTAATGTCAATACATGTCTGACACAGGTGTTGGTGCCTATTTTCAAGTGTCAATGTAATATAGGCATCAACTGATAGATATTCTCAGCTCAATAACTACATAAATGGTAAAGCACAAGACCATTTTATGTAAGCATTGACTAAGAGAATAGGAACCAAACATAATGTCTAAGTTTATGGTTCATGGTCTTTAAGTTCCATAAATTTTCAAAATAGCTAGCACTTGAGGAATGTAACCAAAGGGGGTGTATTTCACATTGAATCAGATCTCTCAACAAAAATCTGAATATGCATCAAAATCTCAGTTGATTTTCATGGAACTTAAATCAAATCATTATGTTAATCAGAAAAATAATAATTGCAAAAAAGTGGAATATGATATACATATATATACAATTCATTTAGTACACATATGTCCTGGAAAGTTAAACTAGAAAGAGGAGAATAATATAATATCAGAATACAATATATAAAAGACTTGTAAATATAGCAATCACATAATATATACTTTCCTCTAAAATATTAAAAATATGTGTATAAAAAATAGCATATATTTAATTTTTAAAAAAATCCAAATTTATGGATAATTCTGTTCCTTTTGGTTTAAACCTCACATATGACATGCTAAGCAGCATAAAAGAAGCATATGAACTTACACTAATATTATGGCTGTACTTGACTATTCTGGAAACACAACTCATCATCTCTGGCATCAACCTGGGTGCGTAAGGGTACCAAAAAAATTACACTGCAATATAAAGAGTCTGACTGAACCAAAAGGGAGATGAGTATATCGACTGTATTACTTGTCGGAATACTTCCGATGCCGGGTAATCAAGGCACAGAAAACGAGCAAACCCCTCTTCCCAGTCTTCAGCCTCAGCAAGTACCCATCTTCTCCAGTCATTCTACCATCAAAAGCCAATGAATCCAGGAACTTAAATAGATCACGGCAAAATGTAGGCAACATAGGGGCCAAATCCAATGGCATGTATGACCTCACCTATAAAAAAACATGTGGAAATTCTCAAAAAACATATATAAGCATTAAATCAAGAAGCTATATACCTAATAGTAGGAACAGGAGAGTAAGTGTAGAACCATTGACAGCTTCACTATAATTTATAACATTTACAAGAGAACAACAGAAATAACCAGGTAACTCTGCATCATATGCAACAGCTTTTCATTGGCAGGGTCAGATGAAAACCCTCTAAATATTATGCTTCCTGATATCTCTCATTATGAACTTTTGGATGCTTAAAAAGATATAAAATTATGTTATTAATTATGCGAAGAAAATGAAACAGCTTTATACAAAATATATTTTCCATTTCAACACTTGCCACTTGTCAGTATGGCCAGGTTTTGAAAAGTCATAAAATGGCACTGCAGAAACATGTACTCAGTCTTTCAGTGTGAGGGGCTGTTTGATAACAGCTTAAGTGGCTGAACTGAAAAGCTTATCACTTTTGTCTTTTAGTGGATAAGATTTTAAGGAGGTTGTGGGCTCCTAATTGCTGAAGCTGAAGTTTGGTATATTACTATACCCATGATTATTTTATTATTTAATATTTGTATCCACTAAAAGGCAAGGCAACAAGTCTTTCAGTTCAGCAATTTCGGCTGTTATCGAATGGCCCCTAAGTATGAAAGATAGAAAGCACAAAAGGTTAGATGTATAAATGCTCATGGTACCAGGTTAACATTGCTCATTCAACTTATAGAATAGGAAAATTAAACCTTTCAATGAACCAAGCTAGCTTTCATCATGCACTAAGCCTCAATTCAGCCAAATAGTTGTACATAGTTCTCATAACCCCCATGAGGGGTTATTTAATGTACATATCTTAGAAAAACCTACAAATTAATTAAATACCCCCTTACAACCGGGGAGGAAAAGGACAGAAAATGATCAAATGACAAAACACAATGAAAAACTAAAACCATAGGGCCATCATTACTCACTCATCCCCACACCCAACATCACCTCCAGCTTCTATCCCATTCCAACAATGGACTAAAACCCTAGCGTTCTCATCCAATTTCCCTACCCCAAGCCCTAATCCTGCTTCTGATGGCTTTGCAAATATACGGCATTCTTACTTAGAAAAAGTAGTTCTATATAAAATATTGCCTTCTTTTCTACTTCTAGTGCAAAATCATCTGTGATACTGTAATTGAGAGTATCAAAACAAGGGATGAATCGGGAGTTTTTGTTTTTTGCAGTGTTGTAAGATTTTTGTTATTCAGGGGTCACCTTTTACTTTGGAAGGTGACAGTTGTTTCTTATGGTTTTATCTAATGAAAGTTACAGTTTCCTATCAAAAAAAAAAAATACAGTAATTGAGATCATGGTGGAAGGTGCCAAATGCCCTTCCAATTTATTTGGTTTTAAAAATCCGGTAATATGTGGAAAATTATGCACCCATGGTAATAACGATGATTCAATTTATGGTTCACGAAACCAGGTTTTTCAACTGCAACCAGCTGAGATGAGCTAAACCTAAGCCCAGCACTTCAGTTTTGAGAGATAAGAGAGAAGGGCAAAGCTTGATTCAGCATGGATCATGGATCAATGGCAAACGAATTTCTAAAATGAATATTGTAGAGAACATTGATGTGGGCCCCACAGCTGTGGTCCCACTCTGTCCGTAGGGTAGAATGTATCTAGTCACAGCTGTGGTCGATTTATGATTCTGTTATTCTAGTTATTATTTACTTTTCAGTTTTATATTGTTATGTGTTATGATGTAAACACCAAGGGCAGATGTGTCCTTTCATGTAACTAGCATAACATATAAATATTAAATTAAAGTGGCGGCGGCAGAATATTTGAGATTGAGTTCTTCTCCTCAAAAATGTGTTCTACTGCTCTCTCACCACTCTTTCTCCTTCTTCTTCTTCACTTTCTCTTCTCTTCGAACCTGAAGTTTCTTAGTGATCAAGACTGATAGCAGTCTTGAACATCTACA